CTCTGCCAGATCATACTCGACAGTAATTACAATTAAGGATACAGATTGTATTAGCTGGTGATTTTGCCTGGCTGCTGCCAGTCTGGCTAGGATTACGTCTTTATCAATGGAAAGTGACAGGTGCATAAATCCTCCCAGTTGGTGCCAAAAAAATACCAGGTGCATCGCTCATCGTGCCTCTAGCCAATCTCCTTGATTTGCCAGCATCCATACATCATTGATGATCTTCTAGACACTGCTTTCTTAAGATGTTTACATTCTTGTTCGGATTATCTTTCACTCCCGGCGCCAACCACTTTAGCGCATTTGTCAGCTCTTAAGAGTCTTAGGGTAGCGTTTTCTTGGAGATTTTTTTAGTTTCTGCACACCACTTTTAATCTCTTTCACTATTGTCATTGCCGTTTTACAAAGCTGGCTTTGCCTGACTTTGGATGGTGCTGTTTTTATCTTGCTCATACTACTTTTAATTCCCTAGTAAACCGGGGCAGCAATCTTCTAAACTAGGCTGAGGGCCCGGTCAAGTGTGGACAAACCCATGTGGCTCTTATCTCATTGTGGTCTCATTTTTCTGCTTGTCTGCCTGAGTCTAAGCTTGTTTTGAGAACCGTGGTGCCTCTCGGGTCTCAGCCTAGGGAAGTCTGGTTGATTGCATGTTTTCTCAGAGACAGCTGGGCGCTTCCCAGGGTGTGGTTCCCCTCCCTGTCACCAGGATAATTCTCTTTCACATCTCCTAGTGCAGATGGGGGATGTAGAAATTAATAATTCACAGTATGTGTATAAGTGATGATCCTTCCTTGCCTGGGATATATTTGCCTTTTGTTCAAAAACATCTTGATGGAGAGAGACTCAACGGTGAGCTGGGGGTTACAGATAGGGAAACTGGATAAGGCAGACTTCAGTTGTCAGCACTCAGCAGCTCAGTAACCTTTTCAGGGATCATTGTACCAGTTGATGTTTGGATAGTGGACTGGCAGAAATATTATTTACTTACACTTATGTTCATGTGACTTTGTGGGACCCAGAGGTCCTATTTGTGTTTGTATTCATAAGTAAGTGTATAGTCAGCCCGTGGTTGGTGCTGGAGAGAAGAAATCAGGACGCATTGTGAAATACCCTTTCTGTCCTCTCAGGAGAGAAGAGGAAATGAGTTTTCATTCTTTCCTTCTGTCTCTCGGTTATAGGCAGTGAAAGCTTTGCCCATGAGCAGTGGGATAGGAAATAACTGGAACCTCCTATCTGATCTGGTTTCCTTATATGCAAACAGCAGGTACCTGCATCTGGGGACCAGTGTTCTCACTAAGGATGATGGGGCCTTCAGTGGTGATGAGGTTTCCTCTGTCTTAAATCACCGGAGCATTATTATTCTTTAGGATTAACACTATATATCTGTTAAGTGTATAATACATGTTTTGAAATCATTTAAAAATATCACTTACTCCTTAGTTTTAGTTTTAGGACACAGTTCCTGCAAATTCTTTCTCTTCCTCTCTGATCCTAGTAAGTGAAGTCATTGGTTGAGAAAAAACCTCAAGGCTGTGTATCGCTTTTCTTTGGGGGAGCTGTTGAATTAAATATCTCAGTATTTCACATAATACTATTTTCATAGTGCAATTTAACACATCATCTTTGAATGTTATAAACTCTAAAAGTTTAAAGAAGAACATTAGAAAAGGGATTAAATGGGCTCATAAAACTCTGCCATCATTATAATCTGATGAGAGAACTCTACCTCTAGGGATTTTCGACTATGTAATTTTTTTTTCATATTTTCTTTATTTTTCCTAATATAGCTTATTAGATTCTAGTCAGATTAGGTATAAATAAATAACTATCCTTTGTCTTAGAGGCAAAGCCATTTGATAGCTCCACAGAGCACACTTTTAATGTTAGTCAAACCCTGTTTCCTTTCTAATGGATGCAGTCAAGCTAAGTGGTGCTTTATGCATAGATTTGAGTGCATAAATCTAAAGCTCTGTGAACTAAATTGCTTATCGTGTAACACTTTGATTTTCCTTTTCCATTACCAAGTCTCTTTAGAAAATACTGAGTTATTGGAAAACTATTGCTGTTGCTTATTTTGCTGAAATCAGGAATGCATCTTCTCTGGACTTTTCCTTAAACTCATGATGAATAAGAGGAGGCCAGGCTTGGTTAGTAATCAGCACCAAATTCCTGTTAGAGGAAATCGGATTGGTGTGGAGAAAAATGTAGTGATAAATTCACTGGGTCTCTTGTGTAAATGAGTAATAGAATTTCATTCTATTAGCATTCAACCCTGACCTAAAAGACCAGCTCTCTTTCATTTACTCATGGTAGAAAATGAGTTTCTAAAAGTGACGAGCCTACGTTAGCTATTTTGTAATATAGGGTATATTTTCTTCTATTAAGTTATGGTTATTTTTTCTGTTCCATTGAAATGAATGAGCTTGGAGAAAATGGAATCTATTTTTTAAGGTTCCTCCAGGATATATGTTTATAAATATATTCCCAGTGGTGATTGGTCATAAAAACATAGGTGTTTTGTAGCTTTCTTAGGGTTCCCATAGAGGTAGCAAGGAATGGGAGCTTTTTTTCCTGAGGACACAGGAAGAAATAGGTCTAAATTATCGAAGAAGGGCCTCAATCAGAAGGGAGTAAGAACTTCACTGCCGTCATTGTTGTGAGTTGCTCTTACTTAGGGAAAGTACCATCTCCTCTGAAGAACTTAGAATTGTTTTGATTGAATCCATTTGAAATAGTTAGATATTAGCTGTACATGAACTTGTGTGGGAATTCATCTTTTTCTAACGTAAATTTCTATTATATATATATATATATATATATATTTGGTAAATTAATTAATGTGTTAAAAATTAACTTTCAACTATGGATGTCAAAATTTGAAAATGGCGACTGAAATCTGGGTCCCAGCTCTAATGGACAGGAACATTTTGTGTTACATTTATGGTTTTCTGGATTGGAACCAGTGAATTTAATCATGAGATTAGAACAACAAGAAGTTGAAACCTGGGCCGGCTGAGTGGCACATTGGTTAACAGCTGGCTTGGGACGCCAGCTCTGAGCAGCAGGGCCCCCGGTTCAGATCCCACATGGGGGCCAGTGACACTGCCTTCTACAGCTAAGATGGTGAACAACAGCTTGACCTGGAGCTGGGCTGCCACGAGTCACCGGTGATGGTGTAGGCTACAGTGGGGCTGGCTGGCAGCAGGCATGGGTTACTGTGAGCCGCCGTGAGTGGCCATCCAATGGCCAGCGAGTGACTGCCTCACCCGGGAAGAGTGCAATGATAATACCAACGTGGGCCAGTGAAGCGACAACTAGACTGAAGAACAAAAGGACAGCAACTTGTCTGTTCCCCTTCCCCCAATTCCCCAGCGCTATTCCCTCCCCCAATTCCCCAATAAAACCTTTTTAAAAAAAGAAGTTGAAACCTGAAAAATTAACTGGACCTTAATTAATGAAATTACCAATTGATTGCCTGGTTCTCCAGCTGTTATTCATGTCAAAATATCCATAAAGTGGGTAGAATTATTAGTAATGTCATCGCTAGTGTCATTAGTATAGTTCTGTTATTAATGGAAGAGTAGGAGCCTTTGCTGAAAAGGTTTTGGGGTTAGTATTTCCCTGAGTAATTATTTCAGTTATCTATTGCTACATAACAAACTAGCCCCAAATTTGGTGGCTGAGAGCAACAGCTACAAGCATTTTAGTATCTCTCACAGGTCTGCGGGTTGACGGGACTCAGCTGAGCAGGCCTTCCGGTCTCTTTCATGCCATTGCAGTTAGGTGGCCCCTGGTGCTCGAGTGACCTGGAGGTTCGACTGGGCAGAGCTGGGCTTTGCTCCTTCTCCATGTGGCCTCAGGGCCTTTCCTTTCCATATGGCCTCTTCACAGTACCTCCTGCAGGGTAACCAGACTTCCTGCTTAGTGGCTCAGGGCTCCCCAAGACACCCGTCCCAAGAGGGAGGAAGCAAAACCTACCACACGTTTTAAAGGCCTGGCCTGGCCTGGTGTAACTGCCACTGCATGCTATTGGCTAATGCCTTACAGACATGCTCAGTTTCAACCTGGGAGAGGACACGCCACGACGTATTCCTGGGGGACTATTTTTAGAGATGAACTACTATAATCATATGCCTTAAAATACTTCATTTTAGACTATTTATGTTAAGTATGTGCTGGTGAGTTTAAACTTCAATTCTCGGGTTACTCAGTTGTTCTCACCAAGAATGTCTACATGAGACGTAGCTGGCCAGCAGTAAGGACCTCTGAAGGGCTGTCCTACAGAGGCTGCCGCCAGAAGCACTTTAGTTATTCAAATCTTGATGAAAACTAGGCCAGGCAGCTGGATGCCTCTTGGTGGGGGAGGGACGTCAGGCCCACAGGGATGAGGAGTTTCTCCTGGGGAGGAGCTGGATGGGGTAGAGTCCCTCTTGTAGGTTCTGCCTTCCTGCCCCAGTGTCCCAGGTGGAGTAGGGGAGTCTTAGGCATTGAGGGGAAGGAGAACGCTTCCCCGGGTTGGCTATTGTTTGAGGGGATGAACAGGCGAGGAGCTCTTCCATTCAATCCTCCTCGCTGATAGTACTCTATATATTATAGTGAACATCAACCACTGAGGTGTCAGGGACCTCAAAGCTAACCAAGTCTACCCTCTAACCCATGAACTTACTCTTCTCTCACTGCCTCTAGCGTGTTCCTCAGCAAGCTAGAAACAGGACTCTAAGGGCCGGCCGAGTGGCTCAGTTGGTTAAGAGCTCGCTCAAGAGTTTGAGCTCTGAGCAACAGCGGTTCGAGTCCAGCCCGAGCTGAGCAGCCACTGAACTGCCAACAGGTAGCAGGATGGCTCAGCTAAAAAAAAAAAAAAAAAAAAAGAAAAGAAACAGAACTCTACCTTTTTCCATTAAGTGTGAGGAACAATTGCTTCTTTAGAAACTGCCTTGAGTAAGGATTCAGGTGGTCACTGAGATTTCACAGGCCTCGCTTTCATCATATTGCTGCAGAACGTGCGTGTAGAAGCAGTCACCAACTGAAATGTGGTCTGAAGGAAGGCGAGGTCGCTCCCGAGGCAGATGCCCAGGATCCTTCTTTTAGCGCCAATGAAGGAAACGAAGACACTGGCGCTGCCTGGCACGAACTGCAGCACAGCCATGCGGGTGAGTGTGAGCTCAGTCCTAACCTAGATGACACAGGGACTCTTCACACTCCATCCAGTCATGACAGTAGCCATCCATCCTCTGCTCTACTGCCAGGATTGTATTCCGGAAACACAAAGCAGCTACTGTAATTCCCTTGCTTATTTTTTTTTTTCTCTGACTTCCCAGTGCCTGTAAGGCTGAAGTCCAAACTTCTTAGTATGTCGTAGCAATATTTTCTTAGGAGGGCTCCAAGCTACCTCTCCAGCCTCATTTTTCTATCCTGCTCCCAACCATCCATCTTGCAAGCCATGTTCCAGTCAGACCGACTTCTGGTCCTGCTCCTCTGTTTTCCATGTGCCACGCCTCCTGCTGGAGTTTTCCTCACCCTTTTCCGCTTAGTGGTGTCCTGTTCATCCTTCACAGTGTCATTTCCTCTGTGGAAACAGGCACAATTAGGTGCTGTCTCTTCTTACAGCACAATGTAGGGCTACAATTGTATTGCTTTATATCTATTAGTATATCACTCTTGCCCAGTGAATTCTTAGCTCTTAAGTGGTAGAGATTTTGTCCTCTTTGTCTTTGCATGCCATCAAATAGCACAGTTCTTGATGCATAATATGTGTTTAAATAGTATTTGTTAGATGGATGGAACGATGGATGGGTGGTGATAAATAAACTGGGATCTCAAACAAGGTTAATCAACCCATTGCTTCTGCCCTATAGTGAATCAACTCAAAGCTTTGTTGTACCAACAAGCAACTAAGGAAAGTGAGGTATCTCCATCAAGAAGACGAAAAATGTCCCCTTTGGTAAGTTATCAACATTTGCAACACGACAAAAGCATTATTTTTCTAAGTATGTGTTAACTTTACACATGTTGTAGCACATGTTGTAGACAGATTCTGAGCAGGGCGTTCTAATAGAGTAAACCATGAAAAGAAATTACCTTCCCTTTGATTATTTTGGCTGAGGAAGACAAACTTCTATGGCGGAGGGAATCCTGACTTTTAAATTTATGATTCACTTGTCAAATGTGAGGGAGGAAATAGTTTGGAGAATTTACTCTGCAACTGTTACCAAATATAAAAAAGGAACACAATACGGAAAAAATGAGCCTTTTCTTTTTTAGAGGGTTATATCTGTATTTGATCATTTTTAGAATTTACTTAATTATAATGCTAGCTGTCCTTCGTAATACTCTTATTATGAATGTCAAAACCAAAGTATGTAATCTTATTCTACATTTTAAAATACATGGTTATAAAATTGTGCGACACAAGAGGTTACCCTTTATTTCTTCTGAAGTTGTTTTTTATTGCTGTTGCATTGACAGAGTATTTTATTCCTGATGGAAGCCATGTGATAGGCTAAAGGCTAAGATGTGAAGGAAAGATAGGTATAAGGGAAGGTGAGAGGGATGGATTTGGCCAGGTTTAAATGGCCAAAATAACAATATAGGCCTTAGGCCTATCTGGAGTATATCACATACTCCCTAGAAGGATATTATGCTTATCTCACAGGGTTTTTGTAATAATGAGATAGGTTTATATATTTAAAATTCTTTGGAAACCTATGAAATATGACCCAAATATAGCATGTTGTAGCAGCAATAACCACCTTGCAGTTTCCATGTGTGTGACAGTTGGATACCAAGGACATATGCTGGAAACCATGGAGACATCACTTTCCTTCACTCACAGCTGAGATGTCGTAACATTACCCCCATATTAACACTTCATTCCTGCCTGACACATTCTTTCATGCTTAATTCCAACTTTAGAGAAATTCCCATACTCCTATTTCATATTTATAGGTATAAATTATAATTTTAATGAAACATTTCATCATTTAGTGAATTTATTACCACTGACACCTAGTTTCTAGAATGCTCTTAAGCACACACTGGGTGGAGTACTTTTAAATCGATTAGATGCATTTGCTCAGATGTGCTCATTAATGTTTTAAAGATAAAACTGAGCAGTGATATAACGGAGCTGATTGAATCTGGATAGGCAGGAAGACCTTCATCAAGAGGATCATATCAGCATATACAGTACGTGCTTTACAGATACCCAGGTCTGCTCACATGGAGCTATGTGAGAGAATGGAACTTGAACTCCAAATGTGTACACCCTGCATCTAATAATTACAAGTCATAATAATAATAAGTAGCTTTTGAAGAGTCTACACTTTAGAATGTACTTTTCAAAATAGCCAATATGACATACCGTAAATATGTGGCTGTCTTATTGAGCTGAAAAATATGTGTAGGTATTATTATTATTATTATTATTTTAACATGTGGATATCCACACTATAATAAACCCTTTAAAGTTTATGCAAATAATTTCTTGTGAACATTTTCCGCCCAGCATTTGCTTGAGTTTTTATTTTTCACATAGACCATCCTTTATAGTCTATGTTCCTACGTGTGTACATAGGAACACTTAATTCATATTTGCCTATATTCCGGATTCATTTGTATTATTTTTAGTGGCTATAATTAATTGCTTTCTACTCACCACAGATAGTTCATTTAACTAAGTTACTTTGGTTTTTAAATATCTTAAATGTGCCAAAAAGCAAGACTCCAATTAATTATTCAGCCGTGAGAGCTGGCTCTTCATCTTTTTTTGGAATTTCTGCTGGATTGAGAAACAAAATGGTTGTGTGTCTCATCTCAAGCTTCTGTCCTCTGGATTAATTTAACTGCTTGATCCTCATTTTCCCTTTCCGTGATTTCTTCTTTTTTTTTAACATCATGGCATGATATGTGATTTTATAAATTTTACAATCCTTGTAGAGTAAGGTAAGATATACAATAAAAGTCAGTCCTAGAAATGCCACAGAGGTGGCCAGAACTAACACTTTGTCTGATGTCTCTTTTCTGGACTCCTCAGTGCAGGGCACCTCTCAGCATCTGACGAACCCCTGCAAGATAATACAGAACCTGTGGGTAGGTCTCTGCCCCCGGCCTGGCACGGAGCTCCTAAAACCCTTGTAATTTCTAAACTGATAAGCGTACCAGGAGCAACTCTTGTTCTGGTATTTGGTCTCTGACTGCAGTCCAGACACAGGCCTCCTAAAACCCTTGTAAATTTCCAGGTGATAAGAGCACTTGAAGCCTCTTTGGTTGTAATGAGGTGACTGTAGTGGGCTCCGGGATGGCTTCTGTATGGGGGCTGGTCACCAGGAAAAGCAAGCCACGATTAGAAGCTGGGGATTTTCAGAGAGGAAAGAGGGGCTGGAAACGGAGCTGACTGTGGCGACGTGAGGAAGCCTCCATCAAACCCCACAATATGGGGCTCGGAGAGCTTCCAGGTGGGTGAACAGCTCTACATGCTGGGAAGGTGACACACCCCAAATACACGGGGACAGGAGCTCCTGCGCTCAGGACCCTTCAGACCTTGCCCTATGTGTCGCTCCGTCTGGCGGCTCATCCGTATCCTCTGTCATGTCCTGTAATAAACTGGTAAACTTAAGTGTTTCCCTGAGTTCTGTCAACCGCTCCAGCAAATTAAGCAAACCCAAGGAGGAGGTCATGGGAACCTCAGATTTATAGCCAGTCCGAAGCACAGTCGACAACCCGGGCTTGCGTTTGGCATCTGAAGCGGGATGGGAGCCATCTTGTGGGACTGATCTGGTGCTATCTCCAGGTAGATTTGAGTCCAATTGTAGGACAGTCAGTTGATTTCACAGAGAATTGCTTGGTGTGGGAAAAACCCCACACATTTGGTGACCAGAAGTGTCAGAAGTGACGTGTTTTGTGTGACAGTCAAGGAGGCACACAGGAGGGGAAGACTGGGTTTTTCCTACTCAAGCCCTTTGAAGATAGAATTTTACTCATTGACACACACTTGGCATCAGACACTTGTCAAAGAATCCGTTTGTCAGGGAGTGGTTCTGCAGCTTTCGTTACAATACCACCTCTCTTCCATGGGGTTTCCTTGAAGAGAGTTGTCCCTTTACCTCAGCATTACTGAATGGGATAGCACATTTTCAGATGGCTCAAATAGGCAGTTCATCCCAAGCCAATTATACTACCCCAGCATTTTTCCACTTGCCTTGTGCTTTTAATAACCACTTTCACCTTCCCTCTCTAAAAAACGATGTTCAATGTCAACTATAATTGAAAAAAAATAGTCATGGGGATGTGAAGTATAGCATAAGGAATATAGTCAATAATATTGTAATAACTATGTAGGGTGTCAGATGGGTAATAGAGTTATTAGAGTGATCACTTTGTGAGGTATATTAATGTCTATTCACTATGTTGTTTTGTACACCTGAAATTAATATAATGCTATATGTCAGTGGTAAAAAAAATGATGTTCATACTCCTGAATCTTATCTGTGGAATTTATAGGATAGAGAAGTAAATACTATTAGCCATAATGTGATCTAGTCTGTGTTTATATGACATCAGTGCCAAGCTGAGTATGGAGATGATATTAATTGATTTGCTAAATGCAAACATGCTTCATTTGTTGCTGTTTTTTTTTTTCCCTTAGAGGTCATCAGAACATGAGGAAACCAATATGCCTACTATACATAATCTTGTCCCTATCATCAATGACCAGTCTCAATACATTCATCATTTAGAGGCAGAAGTCAAGTTCTGCAAGGTAAGTTTCTCATTAAAAATTTAAACCTTCCTAAATTCAAATTTATATTAATGATGCCCTATATGAAAATTTGCTACTATTAGTCTTCATGTTTATAACAATACATTGATAATTGCCATGCTTGTATGCCATTTCTGATTGCTTAATTTCCCAGTAGTCCAAAACTAAACTATATCTAATGCTTTGATAATATGATCTCGTGTTTCAGAATTTTTTCTTTCCACCCCATTTACTTTAACCCAGCTGATGGCAAATGCTTTGGAATAGTAATACCAATCATTCTCCTACTTTTGTTGAGCTCTTGAAGCTGGGGTGTGGCAAGCAGGGACTCTAAGCGGCTAGACTAAATCTGCTCCATTGTCAGTATGAAAGTTCTTACCTTGACTTTGAATAAGAATGGCTCGTGGGGTACTGATAATAATGATCAAGAAACCAAATGTGTCACCTACAGCTTGTTAACACTAGACAGTTATATTGCTGGACTCTCTGGAGTTTAGTGACTGTCAGTAATGCCATTGGAGCCTTTCTGACTTTCCAAAGTATGTTAATGTTTTAGTTTTTCTTTCTTTCATTTTTCAGTATCAATGCATCAGATCATGTGATATTTTTATAATAGTTACAGATACCTTTTTTATCACATCCTTGCCTGATTTGGTGTTGTCAATGTTATGGATTTGAGGTGTGTACTGGTATCGCATTGTTTTAATTTCAATTATCTGATGACATAGAATGTTGAGCTTTTTTTGTATGCTTATTTTCCATTTATATACTTTCTTTGATGAGAAATCTGCTGAGGTCTGTTGCTTATTTTTTTAATCGGGTTGTTCATTTTCTTACTGTTGAGTTTGAAGAGTTCCTTTTTATTTTGGATACCAGTCATTAATCAGATATGTCTTTTGAAATTCTTTTCTCCCATTGTGTAGCTTGTCTTTTGATTCTCTTAACAGTGTCTTTCATAGAGCAGAAGTTTTTAATTTTAACAAAGTCGAACTTATCAATTTTTTTCTTGCATAGATTGTGCCTTTGCTGTTATATTTTAAAAAATATATTACCAAATCCAAGGTCACCAATATTTTCTCTATTCTTCTCAGTGTTTTATAATTTTGTGTTTTAGAGTTAGGTCAATGCTCCATTTTGAGTTAGTTTTTGTATAAGGTGTAAGATCTGTATCTAGATTTGTTTTCTTTGCATGTGGATGTCCATTTATTCCAGGACCATTTGTTAAAAGACTGTATCCATTGAATTGCCTTTACTCCTTTGTCAAAGACCAGTTGACTGTATTTGTGAGTCTGTTTCTGGGCTGTCTATTCTGTTCCACTGGTCTATTTGCCTATTCTTTCACAAATACCATGTTGTCTTGATTATTGACACTTTATATTAAGTCTTGAAGTTGGGTAGTGTCAATCTTCCAACTTCATTCTTTTCCTTCAATATTGTGTAGGCTATTCTGGGTCTTTTGCCTCTCTATATAAACTTTAAAATCAGTTTGTCAATAGCCACAAAATAACATGCTAGGATTTTGATTGGGATTGTGTTGAATCTAGAGATAAAGTTGGGAAGAACTGACATCTTGACAGTATTGAGTCTTCCTATCCATGGACTTGGAATGTCTCTCCACTTATTTAGATATACCTTGATTTTTTTATCAGAGTTTTGTGACTTTCCTCATATAGATCTTGTACATATTCTGTGAGGTTTATACCTAAATATTTCATTTTTTTATGTTAACATAAATGGTATTGTGGTTTTAATTTCAAATTCCAGTTTTCATTGCTAATATATAAGAAAACAGTTGACTTTTGTATATTATTTAACCTTGTAATCTGCAACACTGCTATAAACCCTTATTAGTTCTATCAGTTTTTTTTTATTCTTTGGAATTTTCTTTGTAGACCATCACGTCATCTGTGAATGAAGACAGATGTCTTTTTTTATTATTATTTCTTCCTCTCCAGTATGGATAGTTTTTATTTCCTTTTGTCTTATTGCATTAGCTGGTATTTCTAGTATGACATTGCAAAAGAGTGAAGAGAGGGAATATCCTTGCCTTGTTCTTGATCTTAGTGGGAAATCATCTATTGTCTAGCCATTAACATCAATATAATATTAGCTATAGGTTATTTGCAGGTGTTTTATCAAAGTGAGGTTGTTTCCCTCTGTTCCTAGTTTGCTGAGAGTTTTTATCTTGAATGACTACTGGATTGTGTCACCTGCTTTTTCTGAGTCTATTGATATGATCATATGATTTTTCTTCTTTGTCTTGCTGATACGATGGATTACATTAATTGATTTTCAAATGTTGAGACAGCCTTGTATATATAGAATAAATTCTACTTGGTCCTGTTGTGTAATTCTTAATTCTTTTCATACATTGTTGGGTTCAAGTTGCCAATATTTTGATGAGGATTTTTTTTTTCATGAGATATACTGGTCTGTAGTTTTCCATTCCTGTAATGTCTTCACGTGGTTTGAATATTAGGGTAATGATGGCTAAAATGAGTTAGGCAGTATTTCCTCTGTTATTTTGATGGAAGATATTGTAGAGAATTGGCATAATTTTTTCCTTACATATTTGGTAAAATTTACCAGTGAACCAACAGTAGGCCTGATGCTTTCAGTTTTGAAAGATGGTTAAATATTGATTGAATTTATTTAATAAATATAGACTATGCAGATTATCTATTTTTCCTTCTGTGAGTTTTGGTAGATTGTATCTTTCAAGGAACTGGTCCATTTTCTCTAAGTTATCAAATTTGTGGGTACAGAGTTGTTCATAATATTCCTTTATTATCCACTTAATGTCCTTGGTCTCTATAGTGATAACCCCTCTTTTGTTTCTGATGTTAGTAGTTTGTGTCTTTTCTCCCTTTGTTTCTTAGCCTGGCTAGAGCTAGAGTCATTTCAAAGACCAAACTTTTGGATTTGTTGCTTTTCTCTGTTGATTTCTACTCATATCTTTTCTTCTACTTACTTCATATTTAATTTGCTTGTTTGTTCGTTTTCTAAGACAGAAGCTTAGATTATTGGTTTGGAATCTTTGTTCTTTTCTAATGTTTTTCACAGATTTTGTTGCATCTCATGAATTTTGATAAATTGTGCTTTTATTGTGTTCAGAATATTTTAAAATTGTTCTTAAGACTTCCTCCATGACTGACCCATATGTTATTTAGAAGAGTGCTGTTTAATTGCCAGATATGTTGGTAGTATTCTAGCTATCTTCCTGTTATTAATTTCTAATTTAGTTCTGTTGTGGTCTGAGAGCATACTTTTTATGATTTCTATTCTTTTTAGTTTAAGATGTGTTTTTAGGCACAGAATACAGTATGTGATGGTGAATGATCTGTGTTAACTTGAGAAGAATGTGTATTCTGTTGTTCTTGGATGAAGTATTCTATAAATGTCAATTATATCTAGTTGATTAATGGTATGCTGTTCAGTTCAACTATGTCCTTACTGATATTTTGCCAATCTGCCAGATTTGCTAGATCTGTCAATTACTGATAGAGGGGTATTATTAAAATCTCCCAACTGAAATAGTGGATTTATTTATTCCTACCTACTGTTCTGTAAGTTTTTCCCTGATGTATTTTGATGCTCTATTGCTAGGCATACACACATTAAGGATTACTGTCTTCTTGGAGAATTGTGTAATTGTTTTTATCATTGTGTAATACCCCTTTTTATCCCTGATATTTTTCTTTGCTGTGAAGTCTGCTTTGTCTGAAAATAGCATAGCTATTCCAGCTTTCTTTTGATTTATGTTAGCACGGTATGTCTTTCTCTGTCCCTTTACTTTTAATTTATCTGTGTTTTTATATTTAAAGTGGGTTTCTTATAGACAACATATACTTGAGTCTTGTTTTTCATTCATTCTGACAGTCTATCTTTTCAGTGGTGTATTCAGACCATGGAGGTTTAAAGTGATTATTAATATAGTTGGATATCTATAATATCAACTGTATTTGTTATTGTTGTCTATTTATTGTCCTTGTTCTTTATTTCTTTTTTGTTTTGTTCTGTTTTTCATTCTTTTTCTGCTATCTCTGGTTTTAAGTGAGCATTTTATATAATTGCAGTTTTTCTCCTCCCTTAGCAGAAAAAAAAGAAGTTGAACTTCTTTTCTTTACTTTTATAAGTGGTTGTCCTTAAGTTTGCAATTACATTTACCACTAATCTAATCCTACTTTCAAATAACACTTTACCATTTCAGAGGTAGGGCAAGTACCTTCTAACAGAGTATTCTCAGTTCTTCCCTCCTATTGTTTCTAACATTGCTGTCATTCATTTCAGTTAGTCATAAGCTATAATCACCACATTCACTGTTGCTATTATGATATTGAGCAAACTGTTACATGTTATATATATATATATGTAAATAGATCAATTAAGATAAAGAAAAAATAAAGATTTGATCTGCATATGTTTCTTCACTAACGCTCTTTCTGTCTTTATGTAGATCTGAGTTTATAACCTATATCATTTTCCTCCTTTCTGAAGAACTTCCTTTAATATTTCTTGTAAGGCAGGTCTACTGGTGACAAATTTCCTCAATTTTTGATTATCTGAGAAAGTCTTCTTTTTTTTGGCATCAGCTTTAAAGGTTAATTTCACTAGATACAGAATTCTAGGTTGGCAGATGTTTTATTTTCAATACTTGAAATATTTCATTCAACCCCATTTTTCCTTGCATGGTTTCTGAAGAGTAGTCTGATGTAATTCTTATCTTTGCTTCTCTGTAGGTAAGGGTCACCCCTTCCGCTCAGCAGCTTTAAAAATTTTGTCTTTTTCTGCAGTTTGAATATAATATGCCTAGAGGTAGGATTTTGGGAAATTTCCTGCCTGGTGTTCTTTGAGCTTCCTGGATCTGTGGTTCGGGACCTATCGTTTATTTTGGAAAACTCTCAATCATTATTGCTTCAAATATTTCTTCTCCTTTATCTTTTCTTTCTCCTTCTGGAATTCCCGTTACACATACGTTACACCTTTTGTAATTGTCTCACAATTCTTGGATAATCTGGGTTTTTTTTTCATTGTTTATTTCTCTTTGCTTTTCAGTTTGGGAAGTTTCTATTGACAATTCTTCAAGCTCATTAATTCTTTCCTTGCATGTGTCTAGTCTCTTAATGAGCCCATCATGGCCTTCATTTCTATTATACAATGTTTTTTATTTCCAGAATTTCATTTTGATTCTTTCTTAGAGGTTCCATTTCTCTACTACATTACCCATCTGTTCTTACGTGTAGTCCATTTTTTCCACTAGGTTCTTTAGCATATTAATCATAATTGTTTGAACTCCCGACCTGATAATTCCAATATTTCTGCCATATCCAAGGTTGGTTCTATGCTTGCTTAGTCTCTTTAAACTGTGTTTTAAGTCTTTTAGTACGCCTTCTAATTTTTTGTTGGATGCAGGACATGATGCACTGGGTAAAAGGAACTGGGAAATAGGCATTTAGTGGGAGGTTTTATGTTAATCTAGCCAGGAGTTAGGCTGTGTTTACTGTTTGCTGTTGCCGGAGGCTAAAATTCCTCCAGTGTCCTGGTTTTTGTCTCCCCTGTTGTCTTTGGGCTTGCCACAGGAATTCTTCTTAAATATGGTGTAAGATGTGCAGTTATTTTAAAGCATTCCTATTATTGTATAAGAGCCCTTTTGATGTGGTGCTAAGGTGTGTGAGTAAGGGAAGCATTCCTGGTCTTGTGATGAGGTCTCAGTCTTTTAGTCAGCCTGTGCCCCTTGGCCATGACCTTCACAAGTGTTTCCCAGTCTTCCCCTTCCTTTAAGTGAGAAGGGAGGCTAGAGGGACCTAGAGCTGGGTATCTCCCTTCCCCCAGGTCGGTTAGGATTTGAAAACAACCCAATTATTTAGGCTCTGATAAAATCGGTTCTCCTGAGGCAGGCCTTGTTAAGAACAGAATGCTTTGGGCATATTTCTAAGTGGCTACTTTTCCTCTCCTACTGGTGGAAGCATGATGGGATTTTTCTCTAGTGTTTACTGTAAGCACCTTGTGTCCTAGAGATAAAACTCACAAAAGGGTTGGATCCCCCCCAGCACTGGTTCCCTCTAGAGTTTTTAACTCTCAAACTTGTCTATACTGAGCATTCCATCTTTCTGCCGTAGCACTTCTTCCCCTGGGAGTTTCTGCTCACATGTTTCTGCTCTGGTTGGTTGTGATTCTCAGGGACACGGGCCTGTCTCTCCAATTCTGCAGATAACAGTTTTTCCTGTGACTTCAGTTCTCTGATGGATTTAAGAAGAGTGGTTGATTTTTCAGTTTGTTTAGCTTTTCTCTTCTTGTGAACATGGCAGTGATATCTTCTAAGCTCATTATATGCCAGACCAAAAACTGGAAATCTGCAATATTTTTTAAATCACAGGTTAGGTTTTTGTTTGTTTGTTTTTTGTTATTCTGAACAAAAAATTAAATGGAATTTGCATATATGGCACAATAGTTTTGGGTTATACTAGTAATAAATATTAAGTATTGTACCATCAATATGTCAATAATTTTGGCATTTTTTCAGAGAATGAGATGCCACTCAATAGCTATTCTAGACGGTTTTTTTACCCTCAATTCCTTATATTACACCCTGCAAGGCCAAGAAGACATTCAGAATTCTCCACCAAAGGATTTCGCTCAGTTTCCTTCCATCTGGCTATCAGTTCATAGATAATCGTTGTAACTTTTCAGACCTTTTTATCTCAGAGTCTTATCTATTTAGCCCTATTTCCGTTTTCAGCAACTTATTGGTACTTTAGCATGAGTGATAATAATATATACCTTACCTTATTTTTCAGCAGTCTACCTCCCCCTTTAATTAAAGCCTTTCTATAAGACTTAATCCCTTGGAGAAAAAAATATCAGAGACCACACAACTCTGTGAGCAGGCCATTAGCAGGCCCTAAGCTACACAGCTCCTGATGTTAACTAATGTCTCAGTTGCTTCGTTTGTCTAAATATAATCATAGCACTTCAGAAAATGGATAGAGAGCGTAAGTCTTCCATGCTTTATATCATGTTGGCTTGTGTAGTAACCAACAAGTAACAGCACTGTTTAAAAATGCTTAATGTGTTTGGTATCTGTTTCTGCTTTTTATAGGAGGAACTCTCTGGAATGAAAAATAGGGTACAAGTAGTTGTGCTTGACAATGAACGGCTCCAACAAGAGTTGAAATCTCAGAGACAAGAGGAAGCAATGAGGGAGCAAACACTTCTGGATGCATCTGTGAGCATTTTTTTTAAACCATAATTGTATTTTAGTTTGAAAAGTCCCTCCCGCCCTCTCCCCCAGCCTTCTGAGCTGCTTAGATTCTCTCTGAAGTTTGGCAAAAGTACTATGCTGCTGTTTGTTCGGGGCCTCAAAAGTTAAAATTCACGGTGGTGGAGTGACTCCTCAAATGAAATAATATAGTGATGCCTAATATCTACTCTGGTTTCCTCTCGAGCATACCATTTATGTTTTTTCCCCGTACAGAAAGAGCAGGTCTGAAAGCAGGAAGTGCGTTATATAGGAAGGACTTCATTAAATCCAGAACTGCAGCTTAGATTTCTGTTGTATTTCTCTAAATTTTCCTTGAGCTCTGAATTCCAAGTAAGTCTAATTAGCAGCCTGGTGCAGCAGAAAGAACACTGACCTGAAAGTCCAGGAATCAAAATGTTGGTCTTCCCGTTGTCCCTTATAAGCTGGGTGTGTAGCAAGTCCTGTAATTTTATAGGGGTTTCCAACATGGCTTAACCTCATGGGCCTTCAGTGCGTTTACTGGCAATTTGAGAAGCTTCACTTATATTCGCAGCCCTGAATCTTTAATGTGAGTAGCAGTCACTCAGGACACTTGATGACAATGCAGATTCCCGAGCTCCTTTCCCTGAGAGTCTAGGTTGACTCCTTGAGTTAAAAATATGAAATTTTAACAAGTTGCTTAAGTGATTCTAATTTCATTGGACCACGTTTTGAACAGCAGTGGATTAAATGGTCTCCATAATTCTTGTGATGATATTTAAAGAGGGTTTAAACTTAGTGTCTCCTTAGGACTTGTCAGACACTTTTGCCTTGAAAATGTTTTTCACTCTTGCGATAAGATACAGTTCTTCACAGCTTGTTCTGCTTTTTGAGACAAATTCAACTTTCCGTGGGGAAGTTTTAATGCTTGACTGTTGCAGCTTTATTTTGCAAAGGACTTTAGTGGTTTGGACAGAGTTGTCATCAGTGAATCAGTTCTGTTAGGAAAAAATGTGTGTCTTAATGTTTTACCTCATTGTCCTCTAATGTTTGTTTTTAACTTTTTTTTAATTTACTTGGCTTGATGTTTCATTTGTAATCCTTGAGTTCTATGTGTTAGAATTTGCTATTTAGAAGTAGCTGATTATGTTGACTGAATAATGAAGTGGGCTGATTAGTATTTCAGTTTATTTTTCTCCAATTACATTTCAGTTTGCTATCAGCTATTTTCCCTCCACTATATGACTTTTTCTGAATATTCATATTATTATGTTATTAGTAGTTAAAAATTCCATGTTAGTGGCTTATTATCTTAATGTCAATTTGACTATGACACAGCCATACAAAAAGTACTTAGAAGTAGCTCATTTTTAAAATAAATATGTTCTTTTGCTTTTCTTCCAAATATGTAGTCACTTAGCAAACTGTGACTCAATTGTTCATAGCCTTCAATATTTATACAATGGCAAAGAAGCAGAAAAAGTGGAAGTAAAGTGAGAAAGGAAATTAGGCAGACAAGTGAATCAGAGGGCAAGAGAAGTGAGTAATGTAAAAGGGGAAGGAAGTGGCAAAGGCACATGTGCTTTGCCAAGGGAACGAAGGAAACATGCTAAGGAAAACTGCAGCCATAATTATAGAAGGGACACAGTCGTAGAGAGGTGTTGTTTTTTTCAAACATTCCCATGAGTTAAATACAATGCGGATATTGAAATGATTGTTGCAGAGGTGTCAGGTGACTGATATCTTTTTAATGTTAGTCTTCTGTGTTATTTTGTTGTTGCCTCACTTTTTACTCCTACAAGTGAACTGAGGCATCTCAGCAAACTGCATGGTGCTACACTGAGTTTTCATGCAAATGAAACTTTTTAGAATGTCTTAAATAAAAACAGATCAAAAGATAGCTTCTTCCTTTTTTTTCCCTCAACTCTTTTTAATGAGTCTGTTGTTATGTTGATAATAGATCTTGCCACAGCTATTGATGAATTTGAATATAGGTTTTCAAGTGTTTTCTTAAGGCCTTTTTTGAAAACTAGTTTAAATAGTTACATAGTAATAGTTAATATTTACTGATGACCTCATGGTTATGATGTTCTGGGCACTGTATCCAGCACTTTATTTACGTTATATTTTTTCAGTTTTATAATAACCACACAAGGCACCTTTATTATGTCTATTTGCAGATGAGTAAATTAAGGTTCACAGTGGTCAGGAAACCAAAGTAACTGGTCTAATGTCACGAAGCTAGAAAAGGGCAAACCTAGGACTCAAATGTGGGGCTTTCTGACCCCAAATCCATTCACCTAGCCTCGAATTATGTTGCCTTTCTGCATAAATTAGGAATAGCTTGTCAATATTGAATCAAACCATCTTTGTTTGCCCTGAGATACAAGATTCCCTTCAGAAGAGAAGAGCCTCCTCTTTATTGTCTCTGAGTTTTAGCCTTGGACTTAGAGGGTAGCCCACATGACTTTTAGCTTTTAGCCTAGTTTCTAATCTAGCACCTGAAGAAGCAAGCAGATTATTATTATTATTACTATTATTTTTAAAAAGATTTTTATTGGGGAATTGGGGGAGGGGAACAGTGCTGGGGAATTGGGGAAGGGGAAAGACAAGTTGCTGTCCTTTTGTTCTTCAGTCTAGTTGTGGAGGACGTTGCTTCACTGGCCCAAGATGGCACCATCATTGCGCTCTTCCCGGGTGAGGCAGATCAGTCGCCGGCTTCTGGACAGCTGCTCACGGAGGCTGCTGGCTACACACGGTAGCCCATGGCAACCCACTGCAGCAGGGGCTGCAGCTTTCGCCGTCACTGGTGACTCATGGCAGCCCAGCTCCAGGTTGAGCTGTTGTTCAGCATCTTAGCTGTAGAGGGCAGTGTCACTGGGCCTCATATGTGGGATCCGAACCGGGGCCCTCTGGCGTCCCAAGCCAGCTCTTAACCAACACGCCACTGGCCGGCCCAAGCAGATTATTTTTTAAAAGCTAAAAATGTTTAAATAATATTTCATTTCCATCTTCATTTTCATCACTGCTCCTTACAAAATTTCCCTTCATGGATGGCTTTTCTCAAAAAAGTATAGTATATTAAAATATGCTCCTTATTAGAAATTTTGGCATGTATACTCATTCAAAGATGTAGGAGTTGTTTTTTTCTTTTCTTTCTTTTTTTTTTTTTTTTAGTAAGTAGCAAATTTCTCATTACAAAGTAGTCATGGGGATATAGGTTATAGAATAAGGAATATAGTCAATGACATTATAATAACTCCATATGGTGTCAGATGGGGACTAGATTTGTCAGGGTGATAGATGGGAGGGGGCTGGGGATCAGGGTGAAAAAGGTGAGGGGATTAAGAAGTACAAATTGGTAGTTACAAAATAGTCATGGGGATGTAAAGTAAAGCATAGGGAATATAGTCAATAACATGGTAATAACTATGTATAGTGCCAGGTGGGTCCTAGGCTAGTCAGGGGGATCACTTCTTAAATTATATAAATGTCTAACCACTATGCTATATATCTGAAATTAATATAAAATAATATTGAATATCAACTGTAATTGAAAATTTTTAAAAAGCAGGGGAAAGGTGAATGGGGGAATAAGAGGTTGAAATTTCCAGGTATAAAGCAAATAAGTCATGGGGATGTGACATACAGCATGAGGAATATAGTCAATAATATTGTGATAGCGTAATACGCTGAACTTATCATGGTGATCACTTTAGGTATATAAATGTTGAACACCTATTGTGTACACCTGAAACTAATATAATATTGTATATTAGCTATATTTTAATAAAAATCATTTTTAAAAGTAGACAAGCTCTTTGTTTATAGATTCTAAGACAAAAATACAGATTCCTCTAAAGCTAAATTGGTACCAGTAGGTAACTGAAGACACACGTGATGGGAGAGCTAGATTACCAAGGGGGATCAGTATTATAATGGATCCACATCAATTGGGAGTACAAGCTCTATGAGCCTCAAAAATTGTACTTATTTATATCCTGTCTAAAATAAAGAAGAAAAACAACAATAACATAACAAATAACTTTACGTTGTACCCTGTCTCTTGTTACAAAGGATTTGTAAAGAGTTCATTTATTTATACGAATTTGGCTAAATATCTTACATCAAATATCCTTGGTCTAGTATGAATATTCTTTTAAAATGGAAAAACCACATCTTACAATATGTGAATCTTAATGTGCCTCACCATAGGAGTGGGTTTAGAAATTTGTGGTGTAGAAGGCCTCACTTTTACAGGTATAATATAAAGAAATGCAGGCTATAAATAAAATTACAACAGGAAAATATTCCTTAATAAGCTACTCATTTACAAAATCAAGCTCCAATCTACCGAGGGTGCCAAAAAAAAAGGTATACACATTTTAAGAAAGGAAAAACCTGGATTAAAATTGTAATACTCAACATATACTGATAACAGAAGATGAATACAAGTCACATTTGACTTCTGCAATTCCAAGAGGTGCGCAAAGTGGTTGCGATCAGCGTAATTTGAGTACAGTTTTTTCCTGTCTTAAAATGTGTATACATTTTTTTTGGCACCCTCTGTATTTACATTAACATCTTTCCTGATGAGGGAAAGTCACTCATCATTCCCATATACATTGTCAGATGATCTAAATATTTCTACTCTAAATGTTATGTGAAATTAATAATAAAATCATTTTGTGATGCCAAATTGTAAACATTGTGGAAGATGCAGGATTTCATCAAGTCAGCAAAAGTAATGTGGGAGACCCATCTGATCACATGCCGAGTGCTGGACACAGCTCTGTAGAGTCTCAGCAGTAAACAACCGCAGAAAATTATGATGACCCAGTAGAGGCTTCGACAGCAAGAAAACTGATAAAGCCCCAGAAATTTTTTATTGAAAAACGATTTGGACCCTTCTGTGCAAGTCAAAGATGAAACGCTGTGTAGGAAAGCAGTCGTGCTCATGCGTAATTGTCAGAAAACATACTCTCAAATCAGTGTCTCATGTCATC